TATAAATTTGGACATTATAGTATTTGGTACATATATGAGTAGTACTGATATTACTTCATTATCTATGCTTTTTAACATAATGTAGTTTCCCTGCTTATCTCTTTCAATCGAATCTATTTTGACTTTAACTTTGTCTGAGCTCACAATTGCTACCCCTACTTTTTTTTATATCAGCTGAAGCATAATAAATTCTACTCCAGCCCTTTATTTTAACTCTGTGTTTCTCTCATTTTCAAGTATGTTTCTTGTAAACAATATATTATTGAGTTCTGGGTTTTGATACATTCTACTCTCTGTTTCCATTTTATGGGTGAGTTCATCCCATTCATATTCAAAGTTATAATTACTAGTTGTGTATTTCCCTCCATCTTATTTCCCCCACTGTTTATCCTTCTGTCTGTCTGTCTGTCTGTCTGTCTCTCTCCTTCCTCAGAAGTCTAATTTACTCCTGACCACTTCCTTCCTTATTTGCACACCCTTCTAAAGGTACCTCCCTTATCCTAGCCCCATGCCCTGCTATTTCTCTGTAAATTAAGACTTTTAAGCCAACTAGATATAACCCAGTTCCAATGAGAATAAGGTTCCTGCTCTGCCTGCTCTCCACCTCATCCTCTCCTCCAATGTTAAAAACTCTTCCATTCACACCTTTTTTGTATGAGATAATTTGCTCCCTTTTACCTCTCCCTACCCAGTTTTATTTTTTAGGATTGTCCCATCATAATTAACTCAAACCCAAGCCCTTTAACTATGTATACTTTTTCTAACTACTCTAAATGATGCTAACATTCTTAAGAGTTACAGATATTATGTTCTCATATAAGGCAGTAAACAGTTTAAACTTATTAAGGAATTTAGGAGAGTCAGGTCATTTTCTGCCTTACTCCACCACATTCCCACAATGTCAAGTACTTTATTCTGTATTATTAATATTTTCTCTCTCACTTTCTTAAGTCTAGACAATCAACAAACAATAAATCGAGCTCTACTCTATAGCCTTTATCAATTTCTGAGGCATAAATTCTCACACTGATCATTTAGCAAATCAGTTCTGGGGAGCTGGTACTAGAAAGCTCTAGCACATTCCTGCAACAATCCTTTTGCTGTTCATAGCCTGCTCTATAAGTGTTTCAATAGTCAGAAAAACCTTTCCCAACACTGCCACCTGCTGACCATGGTTGCAATTCCCTCCTTATTCCAGATGGAGGCCAGATTCAATTTAATTCAAGAAACTATAAGTGTCTATTATGTGTAAGGCACTATGGTAGGTACTTAGGAAAAGAGGACAAAAATGAAACAGTCCCTTCTCTCAAGGAGTTCACATCCAAAAGTGAGGCAGAGGAAGGGAATATAACACATTCATAAATAATTCCATTCAATTCAACACACACTAATCAACAGCCAACTATGTGCCAGGCATTGAAGATACAAAGGCAAAAAAAAAGAGACAGTCTCCACTCTAAAGAAGTTTATATTTTAGGGGGGGGGGGGGGGGAACAACATGTGTGTATATACATATATACATATGTGTATATATGCATAAATAAAATATAGAAAGAATGAATATAAAATAATTGGGGGGGAGTGGAGAATAGTAACAGCTGTATAGATTTGATAAGGCTTCCTGTAGGAGGTGGTACCCAAGTTGTTCTCTGAAGGAAATTGAGGAATCTATAAGGCTGAAGTGGGGGGGGGGCTGGTAGAGCGTTCCAGTCATAAAGGACTGCCTATACAAAGGTACAAAGGTAGGAAATGGGATATCATGTACTCAGTACAGGAAGTATGTTAATTTGGCTAGACTGCAAACAGATTTTAGGAAGGGAAAAAGCATTAAAACGTGGGAAGATCAGTAAAGGACTCCTGTAAGAGGTGGCATCTGAGGTGAGCCATGACAAAAGACAGGGGTTCTAAGTGGTAAATATAAGTAGAGAAGCATGAGAGACAATCTATGCATATGCACAAAGGATAATAATAATAATAACAACAACTAGGATTTTAAGGTTTGCAAAGTACTTTACAAATATTTCATTTGAGCTTTACAATAATCCTGGGAGGTAAGTGCTTTTATTATCCCCATTTTACAGATGAGGATACTGAGGCTAAGAGAGGGTGAATGACTTGCCCAGGGTCACCCAGCTAGTATGAATTTAGATCTTTCTGACTCTAAGTCCTGCACTCTTCGCATGGAGCCACATTGCTTATAAAATAGAGATTTAATGCTGAGTTGGAGACTAGCATTAGGGCCAGTTTGGCTATAATGTAGGGAATACAGAGAGAACTAGCACAAAATAAACCTGGGAAATGGGTGGTAGACAGATCATAGAGGGCTTCAAATGCCAGACCAAGAAGTCTGTATCTTAAGCAAAGGAAAACACTAAAGGGTTTGAGCAGGGGAGCAATATGGTGAGACCTATGTCTCAGGAATTTTAATTCAGACGCTGCGTGGGAGTGGACTGCAGGCAAGAGGGATTGGATGCTGGAATACCAATTAGGAAGCTACTGCAATTGTCCAGGCATAAAGTGATAAAGACCTGAATCACAGTACTGCCTGTGCGAGTAGAAAAAAGGGATAGATACAGTAAATGTTGTGGAAGAAGATTGGACAAGTCTTGGCAAATAATTAGCTATGAAGGAGGGCAAAAGGAGAAAGAAGAGTCAAGGATGGCCCCAAGACTGGAAACCTGGGTGGAAGGAAGTATAATAGGACACCTGACAGAAATAGGGAAGTTTGGAGGAAGGATGAATTTCGGGGGGAATATGAGCTGCGTTTTTGACATGCTGAGTTTGAAATGTCCACAGGACATCAAAGTAGGGGTGGTAAGATTAAAATTTAGGAAAGATTAACACTGGATAGATAGATTTGGGAGTCATCTGCACAGAGATGATAACTGAACCCAAGGGGCCTGATAAAATCACCAAGAGAGTTACTGTAAAGAGAGAAGAGGGGCCAGGACAGAGCCAGGAGGATACTATACTTCAGGGGTGAGATATGGATGACAATCTGACAAAGGAGACCACGAAGGAGCAGTCACGAGGTGGGACGAGAACCAGGGCATAGCTGTGTAACAAAAGTCAAGGGCGGAGAGAATATCTGGGAGCAAGAGGTCAATCAGAATGAGAACTGGGAAAAGTCCATTAGATTAACAATTATTAAATTATTGATAACCTTGAAGATGGAAATTTCAGTAGAGTGGTGGGATTAGAAGCCAGATTGCAGAGGGGTGAGGAGTGAGTGGTAGGTAAGGAAACGAAGGCAATGAGTATAAAATGTCCCTTTCTGGGAGTTTGGCTGTGAAAGGACGTGAAGATGGGATGAAATGAGGGATTCTCAAGGTCAATTAAGGACTTTTTTAAGGATAGGAGAGGCCTAGGCACAGTTGCAGGTAGCAGGGAAGGAGTCAGTGGATAAAGACATATTGAAGAAAAGAAATAAAAGGTGAAGCGATCAAATGGACAAGCTCTCAGAAGAAATGGGAGGGAAGGGGTTCAAAGCACAAGTGGAGAGGCTGACCTTGGCACGGACAAGGCTACCTCCTTCTTAGAGACTAGAGCAAAGAAAAAAAAACTGGAGAATGATGCAGAAGGGCTTTCAGGTGTGGCACAGGGGAGAAAAAGCTCTTGGATGATGGCCTCCATTTTCTCAATAAAACAAGAATCCAAGTTCTTCACTAAAGTGGAGGGGTTAAAAGGTGGTATAGTGAGCTTGCAGAGAGAAGGTTTAGAATAACCACTATGGAAAGCATGATAGAGGATCAATCTCGGAAGATCAAAAAGGATTGCCACGAAACTAGGAGAGCCCAATTGAGATTAAATGACATAAATCTGTAGCGGATCCTATTGGCACAGTGTTACGACTTTCCCCCAAAAGCAGCATGTAAGTGGGAGTGGCGGAAGATGGCAGGGGTAACACCCAGGACTAGGGTTTGGCAAGGCATCACTTATGACAGGATGAGGAGGACAGATGTTGCAAGGGTAGAACATAGTGTAACAAGATTGTGAAGGGAAAAAAAAAAAAAGGTTGTGAAGGGAAGAAAATGAGGCCAGAGCCACGGTGATGGACTGGGAAAACAGGGAGGAGTCAGAGAACTGGAGGTCATGGTAAAGATGAAGAATAGATATAGGAGGAATGAGAAAGACATGAAAGGGTAGCAGCTTGTGATTTGAGATAAGAATTTTAGAGTTATAGATCAGGGGAGTAGCACAGTTATGGGTGATGGTTGGATCAAGGGCATGACTGACCTACCTTAGGGTTGGCTGAGTGCACAGAGTAAAGCTGAAGTTCATAGAAGTTGGAGACTGATGAACTGAGAAGCTTAGGTGTTCTAGGGGCCATCCTCATGCAATCCTCTATACTTGTTAGTATGTTAAGCTACAGAGGAAGACTATGATCCAGGTACTAAACTCCTTGAGAAATGAAGGAAAATTACATGGAGGTCAGCAAATGACTTTGACAAAGATCTGGATTGGCAATATGGATGAGTTGAGGGAATCTCAAAAGAAGAGATGTTGCTAAGTGATGGCAGCAGAGGAAGGGTCTGGGAAAGGCAGCAGAGAGCAAGGAATGTGTCTGAGAGAAGGAAATCCCAATAGTGGGCAGCACTGACAGGGATGCAAGAAAGAGGGAGGGAAAGAGGAAAGTCTCATTCCAAACTCACAGCTCAACAATGCCATGGATCCAATGCCTGGTCAGGTGCCTCTCACTTCCATCTACATGGCCTCATGTGGGGTTTTCAGGGAGTGGAAGGAAGGAAGGAAAAAAGAGATTGACACAGCCATGGGGATGGATGGGGAGAAAGCTTGAGGGGGCTCTGCCCTGGGGGCTGTAGCCTCAGGGGAAGAGGCAGCTGAAGTCAGAGCTCTAGACTCTTTGCCCAGGCTGCTCAGGGAAAGCACCTGCCCTGATCCAGGACTGCAGTTGGATACAAAGGCTATTTCCCCCTCTGTTTCTCTATCTGCTTGGGGTTCAGTTCTTGCTCCTACCTTAGGGACTCCAAAGTACTCACCTGCTGACAGAGAGCTACGGGCGAGTTTCATCAGAAGCTGGTCCAGCTGATGGAAACTCTGGAAAACCTCAGCAGAGTGGGTCCGATTGCGGGCCTGGCTAACTGGATCATCACCCTCAGTGCCATACAGCGTCAAGTAGCCGGCTCTGGTTGGCATAGCAACATAATAGTTAGGATGAACTAAACTTCATCCTCACTCTGGGTCAACATGCACCTCTAAAGCCCTTTGGCAAATCAGAAATCAAACATTTCACCATGATCTAACGCTTTATGTTCTAAGGTCCCTTCCAGCTCTGGCATTCTATGTTCAATGTTCTAAAGTCCCTCGTACCTCTAAAATTCTCTGTTTTCTGTGCTAGGTTCTCTTCCAGCTCTAACACTCCATCTTCTTTCTTCTAGGGTATCTTCCAAATCTGACATTCTATGTTTTCAGTTTTTAGTCCCTTCCAGCTCTAACATTCTGTGTTCTGTGTTCTATGTTTTAAGGTCGATCTTCAACTCTGGAATTCTATGTTCTAAGGTTCCTTCTAGCTCTAACATGTTATAAAGAATCACAGAATTTAAAACTGGAAGGGACCTTGGAAATCATCTAGCCCAACCCTCTCATTTTACAGGAAATTGAGGTTGAGGGTAAGGAAGTGATTTACCAAAGCCCCTTCTAAATCAAAGATTCCATGAAATGGTAACACATCCCTTACATAGATATGGTGACTTCAGCTTTTCAAAAAGTTTCTACATCTACCCTCTCGTTGAATGAATACACAAGCCCTGCCTTCCATTCCTGTTCCCAATTACCCGTGTTGTCAGGTTGCCCTTGTCTACAAGAATGGGGATGAATTAGGAAGAAACTCACCTGAGCATCACGTTGTAAGAGAACTGGAACAGCCCTATTTCCTGCCAGTCTGTGCCCATGTCCCCTATATCCTTCAGAAGGATGTTGCAAAGATTGTTAAACATGGCCCCAGTGAGGGCCTGCAGGTTCTTGTGGAGCAGGGTCCTGGGGAAGAGGGAAATCACAGGGCTGAACTTGGCCCCAGGAGTCCACTGATGACAATCCTAAGAATGATCATGGACTACCTCATGCTGCTTTCTAGTTTAAAAGCACTTTTACATCCATTATCTTATTTATACCCCACAATAGCCCTGGGAGGGAGGCAGAATTGGGATTATTCTCCCCACATTACAGATGAGAAAACTGAAGTTCAGAAAAGGGAGGTGACTCGCTGATGGTCACATATGTTAGTAAGTGGCCGAGTGGGCCTTGAACCCAGATCTCCTGACTCCAGGTCCAGTGCTTTTTTTTTTTTGGATGGAGGGAGGGAGAGGGTAATCAATCATTGAGCAGCTATCTATTGTTCTGGGCACTGGGGATACAAAGACCCACAGGAGACACTGAATGTGAAGTAGATACAAGAAGTCTTCTCTCCCTTTCCCAATCCCAGACTGATCATTCCTTAGACACTCACGGTTTCATCTTGGCTTTCTCCAAACCAGGATCATAGTTGGCCAGCTGAACATTGAAAATCTTCTCCATGAGGAAGACCGCATATTTGTGGAAGTCCAGCTTGGAGCTGGACTCCCAGACGACTGTGTCATACGAGTGAGGGTCTAGGAGGACCGTGATAAACCTCCCTGCCACGAGCACCTGGGGAAGTCAGTGCAGTCAGAGATCAAGTGAGTACAAGATCTGTAGTTAGAAGACAGGCTTGGAGACCACATAGTCCAACCTGCTCATCTTACAGGTGAGGAAACTGAGACTTAGAAATGGGCAATGACTTGTCCAAAATTACATGGGGTGCCAATGGCAGGGGCAGAATTCAAACCCAGCTCCTGTGCTTTCAAATCCAGTCATCTTCTTTTCGTACTGTGCTTCCTCTCCTGGGTTAGTTCTTTCCCTCTGTTAGTATTTAGTGAGACACACTGAGATAGGGAAAAGACGGAGAAAGGAACTGTGCCCTTGCTAGACATTTCAGGACACTTGCCACAGCAGCTAACCTTTTTTTCCTTAAGCCTCCCATATTACCCTTTGCTTAATGCTCTCTACCAATGGATGACCTCACTTAATAATTTACTGAGAAAAATAGAAGCCATTCTAGAGATGAGTAGGTAGTAAAGTAGATAGCATGTGGGACTTGAAGTAGGGAAGACCTACTTCAAATGCAGCCTCAGGCACTTATTAGCTGCATGACCCTGGGCAAGTCATTTAACCTCTGTGTCCTTCAATTTCCTTATCTGTCAAATGGAGATAATGTGAGGATAAAATGAGATAATGTTGGTAAAACGCTATATTAATGCTAGCTATTAGCTAGAATTGGTGCTCTCTCTCTGTCCCCCTCTCTCCCTCTCCCTCTTTTCCTCCCTCTTACATCTTCAGTTTCTTCCTATGTCCTAATTCTTTTTCTGCTGCCTACAAATACAGCTAAATCTCTCTCCCATCCTTAAAAAGCCCTCATTTGAGTTTACCATCTCCTCAAGCAATTAGCATCCTGCATCTGTCCTCCCCTTCACAACCAAACTCCTAGAAAGCTGTCCCCTCTTGTGACCTCTTTCTTTCCTCTCACTTTTCAGCCCTTTGCAATTTGGATTTTGACCTCAGCACTCAACTGAAATTCCTCTCTCCAAAGTTACCAATGATCTTTTCATTGCTAAATCCAAGGACCTTTTTCACAGTCCTCGTCCTTCTCAATCTCTTTCTCGCCTGCATTTAACACTGTTGATGATCTGTTGACTGCTCCTGGACAAATCTTCTCTCTGGGTTTTTGTGACACTCTTCTCTCTTGGCTCTCCCCCCACCTCTTTAACCACTTCTGATTCAGGCACCTTTTCTGAGTCATCATCCGTATCATATCCCCTTTCTATGGGCATCCTCTAAGGCTCTGTACTGGGCCCTTTTCTCTTTTCTCTCTCTAGATTCCTGGTAACTTCTTCAGCCCCCATGGGTTTATTTTTATCACCTCGATGCAGTGATGACTCTCAAGTGAGAATCCATACAACTACATACCTATTCAGACCTACCTTGTATTTTGAAATAGATGTCTGATAGGCATCACAAACTCAATATATCCAAAACAGATCTCATTAGCTTTCTCCCCAAACACACCACAATCCCTCGCCTTTCTATTTCTGCCAAAGAGGGGAGAGTGACGTCCTTGGGGTCACCCCTGACTCCCCCCTCCCCTCACTCACATCCTTATCTCCAGGTCGGTTCCCAAATCTCGCTGTTTTCACTTCTCTCTCCTCACACAGCCAGCCACCTTAATTCAGGTCATTATCACCACTCCTGAATTCTTTCAAGAGCCTCTGAGTCTTCCTGGATCAAATTTCTCCCCCTCCCCCATCCATCTTCCACACAACCTCCGTGTGGATTTTCCTAAAGCACAGGTCTGATGATGTTACTCCGCTAAACGCCAGTGACTTCCTATTAACTCTAGGATCAAATACAAAACTTGTCACTTTGGCATTTAAAGACTTTCACAACCTGGCCCCAGCCTACCTTTTGTTGTTGTTCTGTCATTTTCAATCATGTCCTACTCTTCATGACCCCACTTGGGGTTTACTTGGCAGAGATACTGGAGTGGTTTGTCATTTCCTTCTCCAGTTCATTTTACAGATGAGGAAACTGAGGCAAACAGGGTTAAGTGACTTGCCCAGGGTCACACAGCTAGTGTCTCAGTCAGATTTGAACTCAGGAAGACGAATCTTCCCGACTCCAGGACTTTACCCATTGCGCCACCTAGAGGCCCTAACCTACCTTTACAGCCTTGTTATACATTCCTCCCTTCATGCATTCTATGCTCCAGCCATACTAGCCTTCTTGATGCTCTTCACACTCAACACCCCATCTCCCACCTCAGTGCCTTTGCACTGGCAGTCCCCCATGCCTGGAATGCCCTCCTTCCTCATTTTCACATCTTAGAATCCTAGTTTCCTCCACAGTTCAGCTCAAGCTCCGCCTTCTACAGGAGACTTTTCTTGATTCCTGTAGCTACTAATCTCCTCCAAAACATTATATTGTACTGATTTTGTATATATTTTTGACACAGGTTATTTCTCCTGATAGAATGTAAGCACAGTCTGTTTCATTTTGGTCTTTGTAGTCCTAGTGCCTAGCACAGTGCCTGGTACTGTGGGAGGCATTTAATAAATGCTTGTTGATTGCTTGATCTCATGGTGAGACCTTAGCTAACCCACTCTTCCTCTCCAACTTCAGTTTGCTCGTTAATAAAATGGAGGGGAGACTATGTGAACCCTTGAGGTCCTTTCCAGCTTTGATATTCTGTGATTCTGTGAAAGAAAGGCTTATTCCATGACCTCCTAAAGTCAAGTGAAGGTCAGTAGCGAATTCCTGGGGTGGAGATATCACAGGCACTGAGAAGCTGGGTAGTTCAGTGGGTAGCCCACTGGACTTCAAATCAAGGAGACCTTGGTTTGAATCCTGTTTCAGACACTTACTAGCAGTGTGACCCTGGGTAAGTTATTTAACAGTTTTTGAGCCTCAGTTTCCTCATCTGTAAAACTGGAGAGGTTGGACTGGACCTCAGAGGCCCCTTCCAGCTCTAAAACTGTGATCATACGAGGTCTGGCATCGGTGAGAGCAAGCTGCTGGCAACATGAATGGGATGAAGTGACCTCTTCCACATCTCACAGAAAAATAGATTTGGAAAAGTCATTTAGTTCAGTTGCCACCAGGGGCAAGAATCCTCTCTACAGAATCCAGTCTTCACTTGAATACCTCCTATGATGAAGATCTTATTCTCTTCCACAATCCAATCTGATTTTGAACCTCCTAGGTTCCTTCTTCCCTCCCCTTCTTAGCTTTCATGATGCTAAGAAGGCAGGGGGGACCTGTAGCTTCCTTCCTGGGCAGGTTTTTCCTGTGGCAAAGAGGGGTTGCAAGAAGGAATAGAAGAAAGGTCATGAAAGTCCTGTGGTGGAAATAAGATATCCACTTGAAAATATTGATTTGAAAGGCCTTGGTTAAGGACTCTCCAGTTACTGAATAATTAACACCCAGAATGGTCATATGAAAAGGCCCTTGTGAAACTGGTTTGCTGTGGCTGGGTCCTTGGCTAATTATAATAATAATACCCCAGGTCTGTGCAGCAACTAAGAATATACCAAGCCCTTTTATAGCCACCATCTTCACAACAGCCCAACAAGACGGACAGGGACAGGACCGGGACTATTTCCATCCAACAAATGAGTAAACCAAGGGCCAGAGAAGTGACGTAGCCCCTGCCATTCTGAGTCTGTGGCCGAGGCTGACAATACCCCAAGTCTTGTGATTCACCATGCTTCAGAGGAAACAGTACTATGGGAGAAGTCCTGAGGGTACCAGGCAGGAGGGGCCAGTTATAAAGAAAAACACCCCAGTCCTACCCCTTCCCACCCTTCCCAAAAGCACACTTACCGTAAAGATGTCCCCGTGCTTCTTCTCCATCCTGGAAAGGAATCCAGCTGCATCTTTGCCAAACTCTGAGGCATGGCCCAGCCAGGGAATGAGGCCTAGATCCAAAGGGGGCTCCCCAGGTCTCCTGGAAAACCCAGAACGTAATAAGCACCCAGTGAGAGGGGACAGACAGTGAGACAACTCCAGAAACATTTGTTAAGGGCCTACTAGAGCAAGAAACTGGAGACATCAAAATGATAAATGACATAGTTCTTGCTTACAGTCTAAAATAGGAGCCATGGTAGAGACGTGTGTTCAAATACCAGCTATACAACTGGTTACCTGTGTGACCGTAAACAAGTCACTTTGCTTTAACCAGTCTTAGTTTCTTCAACTGCAAAAATAACAAGGTTAAAGTAGGGTTTTAAGGTCTGAATCCTATGATCCTATTAGAGATAGAGAGGGAAAGGGGATAAGACATTAGAGCCAGAATGCAAACAGAGCAAGCCAATCAAAACAGAGCGCTAAATTTAGCAGTGAGAAAGGGGTTATGACCCTGAGACACCAATAAGGAGACCACCTTCGATGGGCAGTGGTGGGGTCAGGCTTTGCTGTGTGGGCAGACAAGGGAAGCTCACCTGGTGTGTGACTTCTGGGGCAAGGCAATGGACTGTTTAGTAGCTTCCTATTTTAGTGAATTCTTGTGAACTAGATGTTCATCTCTGCTGTTTTTACAGCGATGAAGGCTTAGAAATGCTTTCAGCTTTCCCTGAATTCAGTGTGCTCAAGGGCAAAGTCATAGTCACTCTACCTTAGTTATGGCTCTGTATGACAGGCACGCAAATAAGCATGCTATGAAGTTGAATGTAATGAAGGCAAAGGAGAAGTCTAGACAAAATGCTAGGAGAAATGTGAGAGGAAAGAAATTATTTTCACCCGGTAGGGAGTAGGCAGCAGAGAGGGTTTCATGAAGGAGACGGCGTACCAACTGTTTTGGATCTTGAAAGAAGATAGACTTCAACTTCAACAGACAGAGATGAGGGGAGAGAAGTCTACTCTAAGCATGGGAGATGGTGTTTGCAACAGAATGGAGGCCAGCAGGATGTGAACAAGGGATGCAGTGAGTGAGGGGGAGAAGTACAAAATAATGACAGACAGGTAGGTTAGAAGCAGATTGTGAAGGGTCTTGAATACCAGAGTCAATTTATATTCTATTCAATAGGCACTGGGGAGCCAGTGAAGATTTTTGAGCACAGGAGTAGCATAACCATAGCCATGCACTAGAAAGATTGTTCAGGTATCATCAGTGTGAAGGATATACTGAAGAGAGTAGAATGGAAGCAGGAAGAACCTGCTATACTATATATTACTATACTATACCATACCATACCATACCATACCACACCATACCACACTATACTATACTATACTATACTACACTGTATTACACTATATGCCTCTAAGGTCACGAGACTGGCTGGTAGAGTTGATGATATCTAGGATCTCTTCTAACTAGGAGGGTGCTAGTAAATGTTTAGCAACTGGCTCTCTAGAAAAAAATAAATACACAACACACTTTTAACTTTAATCTGCATCATTAACATTTTCTCCATCATTCTCTTAAGTCTAGACAATCAACAAAACAATAAATCAATCACTGATTTGTAGTATTTGCCAATTTCCAAGAATGCTCACACTGAAAATTTAACAATCAGCTTTTGGGAACCTGTGTGAGCCGGCCCCAGCATGTATCTACTTTCAATTCACCATTCTATGAGTCTGTGAATCATGAGTGTCTGTGAGTCATGCCATAGAGGCAGCATGGAGCAGTGGATAGAGAGCTAGCCTCAAAGCCAAGAAGGGCTGGGTTCAAGTCCAGCTTCTGTCAATTACTGACCATGTAATCCTGAGCAAATCATTTAAGCTCTTGGTTTTCTAGGCAGCTCTCTAAGTCACTTGAGTCTACACAGGTGTCACAGCCTGTCTAGGTGGAGGGAATTTCATCACTTAGGAGCTCCCTATACCAATGAAATCATAGGTTCCTCATCTCTAGTATAAGAGCCCCAAGACATGTGAGTAAAAGGAAAAAATAGATGTGAATTGGGAGTGATCAGAAAAGACTTCCCAGAGAAACTAGAATTTGAGCTGGGCCTTGAAGGATTGATAGAACTTCAATAACTTCCATCAATAGGAAGGGGAGGAATGGTAGGTACGCACCATATACAATGTACACCCTAGCAGAGTGAACCCCAAAGTAGAGCTGCCCCAGCAGGGGAGGTGTGGGCACAGTGAGGCAGCAATCATCTTTCCGCTCCCTGTTCTTCACTCCCTGGCCCATCCCAAAACTAGAAAGTCAGGATTAAAGCCCAAGTTTGCATCTCCATAGACTCCTGTGCCAGGGGATGGTACAGATATTGGCAGGCTCGAAGTGGAGAGGCAGGAAAGGAGCTAAGTGTGCTCTGCCTTCATCCGAAAGCTTCCAGTTGTCTAAGGATACAGCTAATGTGATGTGATGACTAATGGGAACTGGTGAAGATGCTTTGGAGCAAGACTGACAGGTTCTGTGATCGTAATTCAGCCAAGGCCAGAATGTGAATCACTCTGTTTACCTCTGAGAATCATAGAACTTTCATGACATAGGATGACACTAGAAAACACAGGACACAGAATGTCAGTGCTGAGAAAGACCTTAGAAGATGGAATGTAAAATATTGCCCCTGAGAAGGCCCTTCAAACCTAAAACATAGAGTCGAAAGGGACCTTAGAACATAAAAGATAAAACAGTAAAACTGGAAATAAAATGAATGTCCATCATTGGGGAGTCAGGGAACAAATTGTGCTGAGAAAAATATAGAATACTGTTGTGCTGTGTCTTGTACACGAGGGAAAACCAAGCGGACAAAGAAAGCCCAGACCAAAATGGTATTGAACGTGCAGCGCAAAGACTTGGTCCTTCAGAACATGCGAGGTCAAACACAGCACCCAACATAGCCCTTGATGGGACAAATATCACATGCAGTACACTATGTCATAGAATGAACACACTGTATCATGTGACAGATACATGCAACACGCTCAGTCGTGTGGAAAAAACAAACCAAAAAAAATGAGCCAGGCCCAGGGTTGAACAGGAGGAGAAGAGTGGATTTGATCTCAGGATCTTGGAGCTAAGAGAAACCTCAGAAGCCATGAATCCCGACCCCCTCATCATCCATCAGAGAAAACTGAGGCCCAGGGATGGGAAATGAATTGCTCCCAGGCCCCCTGATTCCATATTCAGGGCTCTTCCCTCTGTCCCACATTGGATCGCATTTGAGAAATTAAGCAACGCTTTTAATGATCATCTCCCCCTTCCAAGCTTCTCCCTGAAACAAAGGCCCATCCCTTTAAAAATACAAATATTCTTTCAATGTTTTTATATTGCTGCTAGTCATGAAATACCACAGCCTCTGAAGAATTTAAGCTGAAGGTCACCCAAAGGGCAATGGGGAGGTAGGTACATGGTGGGTGTAAGCCGGCTGCAACGCATCACCAATGAAGGATTGCATAGGAGAAACGATATCAGAGAGACAATAGTAAAGCATGTCATTAAAGAGGTATGTGCCTGGAAAAAGAAATGGGCCAGTCATTTGGCAAGAACAAAGAATAACCCAATAGAGAATCCATTTATTCTCCCGGAATCTACACAATGTCAAAAGAATGGGAGGAAGGCCCCTAGTTGATAAAGTGGATCTCTTGTTGAGGAAGGATTTACAGAAGGATATGGATGAGAATCACACAGGATGGGCACACAGGGATTTGTGTCACTGAAGGGAGCGCCCCCATCCATGAGATCACCACAGATCTGCTGAAGTGTCACAAAAGAAAGGGTGAGTATGAGGAGTGCAGGCATGTAAAAACTAATAAATACAAAGCAAAGAAAGTGGGACAAGAAAATAATATCCATCATGACCACAATAATATAGATGAAGATGCAGAATTAAATACATCAGAAATCCCATGAGTTGCAATGATCCTAAGACCAATTTTGTTTCCAGAGGCCTGACAATGAAATACATTTCTCTCCTCTTCATAGAAATGTGGTAGGCAATGGGCACAGGACGTGTTTACTCAGACACAGTTGTTTGGTTTTACTTTATTTTTCTGTTTGTTATAAAAAAGGGGGGATTCTCTTTGGTATTAAAAAAAAGCCACATCAATGAAACATTTTTAAAGAAAAAAGGAAAAATACTCAAAATACTAGATTTGGAAAGGTCTTTAAGACATGGAACACAGAATGTCTGAGCGGGAATAGAGCTTAGAACACAGAATACATCTTGTTAGGGTAAAATAGAACTTGAAGATCACCAGTCTAATTCCCTCATTTTATAATGGGGAAATTGAGGCCCAGAGAGGGGAAAGGACATACTGCTCTGAACTGTTGGAGTTGCTCACCCTGTACCTGGCATCTACAAGCCATGTTTTCATGGAACCATAAGCTGGGAATGCCTTAGGATATAGACTACAATAGATCTGTGCTGAAAGGGAATTTAGAACATAAAATGTCATTGATCTTAGAACGGAGAAGACGACTTAGAGACCACCTAGTCCAAACTAGTGACTAGATGGTGCAGTGCATAGAGGGCTGGGCCTAGAGTCAGGAAGACTCATCTTCCTGAGTTCAAATCTAGCCTAGTGTGACTCTGGGCATTTAGCCCTGTTTGCCTCAGTTTCCTCTGTAAAATGAGCTGGAGAAGGAAATGGCAAACTCCTTCAGTGTATTTGCCAAGAAAACCCCAAATGGGGTCACAGAGAGTCAGACATAACTGAAAAATGACTAAACAACAAGTCAAAACTCTTAATTTTACAGATGAGGAAACTGAGGCTCAGAGAAGGGAAATAATTTGCTGAGGGTCACACAACAAGCTACAGGCAAAGCCAGAACTGGAAGACAACAGTTCCCTTACAGTTTGTCTAAGAGCTCATCCAATGGAGGGTGAAAGTGTCTTTTGTTTACCACCCCGCCCCTCAACACAGCTCAGAAAGGGGCTCCATAGAGCATTCCATCTCTAGATATCATTCCATCGGGTTGGCACCTATAGTGTTAACTTTCTCCTTGGCATGAATTGGCCTTTAGGAGGCCTCTAGTGGAAACAAGGTATTATTTCTGACTGAGACTATTTCCTATTCTTAAAAAAAAAGTGGAAAATGCAACCCAAACTCCAGGGCTAACTTATTGACAAAGGCAGGAAGTGTTGCCAGCAGTGGGTAAATCCAAGCTGTCAGCCTAAGCTCGAATCTTCGGAGGAAAGGGCCCCCACCCCCTGCCATCTTGAGAGCCCCAGCCGAGGCGTCTGACACATCTGGGCAGTGAACTCAGTTTCCAGGCCTGGGTGTGGTGAGTGGTGAAAGCCAAATCTATTTTAGGGCCTGTGGTCTGTGGCTGGCCTGTCACTTTCCCTTACTTGCCTTGGGAATCAAGAAGCAAATCCCCAGACATGGGAAGATAATATCTACTCCCCAAGCAGGGGAAAATAAGAGTCAAAAAAAAGAGAATTGGCCCCAGTTTGGCCTCACCCATTTCCCTCTCCCTTCTGTTAGACTTAAAACGGCCCTTACAGATCTTCTAGTCCAGCTTTTCTCAATTTACAAGTAAGGAAATGGAGGCCCAAACAAGTGAATTGACTTGTCCAAGGTCACAGAGCAAGTCAGTAGCAGAACCAGGATTCAGACTCAGGTCTCCCAATTCTAGTCCAAAATGTTTTGCACAGTGAGGAGACAGGAAGCCCGAGGCTCAGGAGAGAGGAGGTTTCTTTTGCCAGCGTTCAACACATCACACTTGGAACATGGGGAATATATTTGCTAACCTCTTCAAGGGGCTCTCTGGCAAAAAAAAAAGAAATTCGGGTTCTAATGGTTGGTCTGGATGCTGCAAGAAAGACAATTATTTTGTACACATTGAAGCTGGGTGAAATAGTAACTACTATTCGCACTATAAGTTTCTATGAAGAAACTGTGGGATACAAAAACATTAGCTTCATGGTGTGGGATGTAGGTGGCCAGGACAAGATCCAATCCCTATGGCGCCATTACTTCCAGAATACACAAGGACTGATTTTTGTGGCTGACAGTAATGACAGAGTTGTGCTTATATTTGTGCTCACATGGATACTTACTAGGGAAAAAAGCTTTGACGCTGTGGCTCAGAGCAGGTGGCACATTGAGAGCATTAGATCTTTAATCATAAACTGTTTATAACTAGACTTCTCCCCCTCTGCAGTTCAGGTCAAGTTGTGATAAGTTCTCTATCACTCTTGAATAACTCTTGGAAAGAACACAATGATGGCTGGTTATAAACATTGAGAAGAGCTTCTGACATATTTGGACAATAAAAACCAGCTTTTTAATCTTGGTCAAGTGTGTGGTGTGTCTGTTTGAAACCGCTCCACAGTAAGCACAGCCTACATTAGCCCCAAAGCTTGGCTGGAGATATTTAAAAACACAGTCAAAAACATCAGGCATTTCTCTATAGTGTCTAGGTTTTGAAAGAAAATAAAGCAAGCATGAGAACTTGGACAGTCATTCCATTCTAGAAGTATTAGGTCCCATTTTGGAACAATCTCCCTATCTGCATATGTGTGAAATGTCTTTTACCCTTCACTACTACAGGGGTCAGACTTATCATATGAAAAAAAAAGATCTTTATTTTTTTTCTTTTGTATTTTGATAAACACTGAAGAAGCTGGAACTGTTAAACTTTATCTCAGGAAAAACTCAGAACTGGTTTGTTTGGTGCTGTGGAAACTCTTACTGCTTTCAATACACACTTAGTGATCGACTGTTTTGTATACTTGTTTTAAGTTTTCATTTCAACAAACAAGCACTGTAATTCAAGCTATGAGAAGAAAATCTCTGAACTATTAACAAAATGCTTTCCCCAACACTCCCTGGTGTAAACCCCCTGCTTTTAGTGGTTCTTAGTGTGTAGTCCTCTCAATGTACCACTCTTGTGACTCTGATTACTATCTGTTGCACTCTCCAACCTAGAATATTCCTTCTTTTTTTTTTTTTGCCTACTCATCTTGACTCAGAGCTCAGTGCAATTCCACCCCCCCTAGGAAGCCTTCCTAGATTCCCCTCAACTGTAGGGATTACTACCCTCTCTGACTGCTACACTTCATGTCAGTGTCAGACAGTTTGGCTCAGAATTCTCAATATCATATCTGTTCATCTTAAATCCCCACCCCCACCCCAAAGCTGGGCAGAGCAGGGGCTCTGTGAATAATAATAATAACTCACATACATAACTAAGAGTATATAACTGAAGAGTATTTTTCATACATAATCTCACTGGAATCTCAGAGCAGCAACCCTATGAAGTAGGTACTATTATTAATCCACTTTACAAAAGATAAAACTGAGGGTCAGGGAGATTCAGTGACTTGTCCTGGGTCATGCAGCTAGTAAGTGCCTGTCGTAGGATTTAAACCCAGAGCCTACTTCCAGAACTCTATCCACTACACCACACTGCTTCCTGTATTATGGGTTAAGAAAAAAAAAAGAAAAAGAAAAAACAATGAACTGCCTGGTTTTAAGACTCGTTGATAATCTGAATGTCTTCGGCTGAAACACAGTAGACTCAGAGTTCAAAAACTTCTGTTGAAATCTCAGCCCTGCCACCCTACTGGGGCAAGTAACTTTGGCGTCAATTTCCTTATCTGTAAAATTATGTTTATCAAACTGGCACTACCTACTTCCCATGACTGTTTTGAGAAGAGTGCTTTGGGAGCTATACTACATTATTGAAATGTGAGTTATTATTATCACAGTAGGAGTTTTGAAGGAAAAGATCTGGACATACACAATCAGCTCTCGATTTCCCATGTTAAGGACACTAAAGACGTACATAACTCAAAACAGGAAAATATGCAAAAATATGTTTCAAACCAAGTAGAAATAAAACTCGTTAGTAGTATATCTTCTCAGTTCTGTTTCCCATAGGCTAATATCAGATGGGGGTAGGACACCTGCAGCCTCTAGGCCACATGTGGCCCTCTAGTCCTTAAATTAAGCCCTTTGACTGAATCCAAACTTCACAGAACAATTCAGTGAACAATTCTGTGGTCTGGATTCAGTCAAAAGGCCATACTTAAGGACCCAGAGAGCCACACATGGCCTCGAGGCCGTAGGTTCCCCACCCCTGGTTTATACTCTCCCACATAACAGTGGAAAGGGCTCCCCAGGAATGAGTTAGGTTGCAGGAGGAGTTTATATTTTGCCACTGAACAATTCACCAATAGATAGCAAGGGCTAACCTGTTTGTTAATGGGAACATGGGTAACAAGGGGGTGTGACTGGCCCATAGGGAATAGAGGCATTCAGGAGGGTAAAGGAGGTGTACTCCGTTGCGTCATTTAAAAGAGATCTGGGTCCCTGAAACATCCCCGGACAGATTTTGGCCAGGCCAGCACGCACCTTTGAAAATCTGGAATAAAAGGTTTGTTGAATTGCTGAACCTAAGTAGGATAAGATAACACATAGGAAAGTTACAGGTTCAACTTAATCTCTTTCAGAGATCATAGGAGAGTACATTTAGAGCTGCAAGGAACCATAGAAATCATTTAGTCCAAACTCTTCGTTTTTTTTTAACAGATGGGAATACAGATTGTCATAGTTGTAGGAACCACAAGGAAGTCGAACATAGGGAGGTCAAAGCCGGATGGGACCTTAGAACACGGACTGTCGGAGATGGAGGGAACCTTAGAGAGCATTTATGTCAGCCTTCTCATTCTATAAATGAAGAAACTGAGGCCTCGAGAAGGTAAAGGACCTGCCCAGAGCAACCTAAGTGACAGAACCAAGCATAGAACCTAGATCTCCTGACTCCTGGTCTGTTGTTCTCTGCATTATGGTTTTCTGAAGCCTGGTGTCCCAGCCCCAGCAGGTGCCTGCTCTGCCATGCCTGGCAGCCCCTGAAATGCCTATCCATTTCTGACCTACCAGAAGAGGCTTTGCTTTGCCTGGGATACCCAGAAATGGAATCTCATATTTTCTTTCTACTCGGACCTCCCCAAGCATTTGTAACTCCTGAGGAATTTTTGGTTGACAGAACAGTAAGGGACCTTGGAGACCATTTAGCTCACTCCCCCCTCCCTTATATTACAGATGAGGAAACTTGAGTCCTTCCTACAAAGTTCTCTCCAATGACCAAAGTCACACAGATAATTAAGAAAATAGAATTTGAGGCTAGGTCCTGCCCACTCCTGATCAGACTTAAGGCCAGGAGTCTCCCTAAAGGCTGCTGGCTTGCGGATGGGGGTTCTCCAGCCATGATCTCCTTTCTTTGGGGCGCATGGTTCTCCCTTTCCTAGGGTTCCCCGAGGGGCCACGATCCTAGTCAGTGTCCCTCTCCCCTTACTAAAAGGCTGAACCATTCAGGAAACTCTAAGCATCTTTCTCTTAGGGGACAATTCTGACTTCAGTGCCTGGGTATCCCACGTCAGACCTGGTTTCCCCGGGACCCGGGCTCCGTGGTGCGGAGCAGGAACCTCGCGGGAGGAGCAAGGGTGGCGGGGAAAAGCGGTTGGGACAGGGGTGCGGGAAGGAGGCTATAGACGTCTTTGGATCGGCCCACTCACCGCATTCGCCGGCGGGACAGGAGCAGCAGCAGAAGCAGCGCGACCAGCAGCGCGGTCAGAAAGAACCACGGCATGGCTGGAATAGGACGAAGACAGAGCGCCTAGCTGCAGGTGAGAGCCGCCCAGAGCCTCTTATGCCCGCTCCTTCTCCCGGACCCTCCCCTCTCTCCCCGAGCTGAGACTGTTGGTCCCGCGCCACGCACCGCCCCCTCCCCGCCCCAAGGAGGTCCGTGCCTCCGAGGGGCCCAGGACGCCAGAGTTTCCTCCCCGAATCGGGCCCCAGTCCCTAGCCCACTGGGAGGGGCTGGACAGTCCAGCTCAATGCCGCAAACACTTATTAAACCCCTACGGTGTGCCCGGTTCGGCGCTTATAGCATTACACAAGGGATTACACAGACACCACAGTTCCTACCTTCAAAGAGCTTACTAATAGCGTTAAAGCCACATAATGCCTCGATTTCCTCATTTCCAAAATAAGTTTTTGAGATGGTCCTTGGAGGAAAGGGTAGGATTTGGAAGTGGGGCTTTTAGGAGACTTCCATTCTCATCCCATTTCCTTGGAAGCAAGAAACCCCTTTGCTCATTAAAGCAGCCCCACTCCCCACCCGCAGCAGTTTCCAGTTTTACGATGGCCTTCCATCCCCAAGTAAAAGCTAGGATCCAGCTGCTCTTCCAGCCTACAAAAGGAAGTGCATTTGCTACAGTAATGTGAGCTTTTATCTACCCCCCAACACCCCCCCCACCCCGCTGTCTTCAGCAAAAAAAAACAAAAAAACAAAAAAAACAGGGGAAAGAGTAATGGACTTGAGGTCGAGAGAACAGTGTTTGCATCACAGCTCCAAAACTTAATACGTGGGTTAGACAGTCGGTCTAAATATTTATTAAGTGCTCCCTATGTGCCAGGTGCTGTGCTAAGCGCTAGGAATACAAATATAAGCAAAAAGAAAGACAGCCCCTGCCCTCAAGGAGCTTACATTCTAATGCAGGAAGAATTCAGATTGCAGACTGGTGAGAAATGAAATGATGGGTGACGGCAGACAAGTCATTTAACTCTCCTCAGTCACCCCTGTAAAGGGGATAATTCTTGCATTGCCTGCTCCACGGGGTCACTTAAGCCAAAGGTGCTATATAACCAATAATCTGAATAGTAGTGAGCTCTTATTCTATTCTACCTCATCTTTTAGCAGCCCAAGCCACACCTCCTTCAGGTACTTCGCACACTGTTCCAGCCTAACTGACCTGCTTGTTGAACTCCAAACTGAGCATTCCACTCTTGCCTCCTTGCATGTACAGAGGTTCCTTCTAAACCTGGGATGCCCTGGAATGCACTGCCTCTTCTCCTCCATAACTCAGCATCCTTTACTTCCTTTGGGCCTTGTACCTAGGATTCCTGGCTTGTAAGTTTGCATTTATGTTTACATTTGCTTTTTTTTTGTCCACCTTGTCACAATATTTACTCATATTGAGCCCAAAGTTCAGTAAAGCCCCCAGATCTTTTTCACATGAGCTGTTTTCCAGTTACACTTCCCATACTTAATTTCTGCAGTTGACTGTTTGAACCAAAATGTAGGACTTTACATTTGTCCACACTAGATCTAATCTTATTAGATTTTATCCATCATCCTCACCTGTTAAAATAATTTGGGATCTTGACTCTTTCAATCAGTGGGTTAGCTATTGCCCTCAGCTTCATGTCAACTGCAAATTGTCTAGGCATGCCCTTTATGCCTTAATCTAAGTCATAAGTACAAATGTTCCATAGCAGAATAGCAAGGATCAATCACTTTGGCATCCTGCTATACTAACTACTCAGTGTGACATCAACATTTCAATAAGTTCTCCCTAGGTCCAGGAATTCAGCTATCTCTGAATTCACCTAACTATTCTAACTTACATCTGGTTTACATCTCTTCATCTTGTCCACAAAGATAACATGAAAGGTTTTATCAGCTACTTTGCTGAAATCTAGATATGTCTGTAATTGTTTATAGATCTACCTGTCTAGTGACTCAGTGTTAACTAGGTATTATTAAGCCTTGTTGTTTCTATACTGCTGAAGGACTGCACATTCTGTCAATACCATCTAAATTTTGCATCCTTGGTCAAAAATTCAGTTGCCTTACCCTAGCTACAGTTTTGAGGCAACTAGCTGACACAGTGAGTTGAGCACTGGGCCTGGAATCAGGAAGACCTGAGTTCAATTTTGGCTTCAGTTGTGTGACTCTAGGCAAGTCACTTAACTTCTGTTTGCCTCAGCTTCTTCCGTTATAAAATGGAGATAATAACAGCATCTACCTTGCAGGATTATTGTGAAGGTCAAATGAGATAATATTTGTAAAACACTTAGCACAATGCCTGGCGCATCGTAGGTACTTAATAAATTCTTATTCTCTTTCCCTTCCCCCTTGGTGCCTTGCCCTGGTCAGACCACATCTAGAATGCTCAGTGCTAGGTGCCATACTTTAAGAATGAAGTTGATAAAGTGAAGAATAACCATAGAAGGACAAACATGATGATGACAGGCCTGGAAAACGTACCATATGAGGACTGTTTGAAGGCATTAGGAATATTTATCCTAGACAAGAAAATACTTAAGGAGGGAGGGGGAGTAATAATAATTTTCAAAGAATTTGAAGAGTTAAGATACTTAATTCTCCTTGGCCCAGATGGCAGAACCAGGAGTAAAAGGTAGAAGGTAAAATGGGGAAATTTTAGACTTTATGTTAAAGGAATACCCCCTAAAACAAGTAGAGCTATCCCAAAATGGAAGGGATTGACTTAAGAGCACTTGGCACCAGGAGAACACTGTCCACAGAAACAGCAATATTATACAATGATCAGCTATGAATGACTTAGCTATTTCCAGCAATACAATGACCCAAGACAATTCCAAAGGACTTACAAAGAAAAATGCTATCCACCTCCAAAGAAAGGACTGATGGAGTTTGAATGCAGATTGGAGCATACTTTTTTACTTTATTTTTCTTGGGGTTTTTTGGTCAGCATTTTCTTTTGCAACATGGCTAATATGGAAATGTTTTGTATGACTGCACATGTATAATTTATATCAAATTGCTTGCCTTCTTTGGGGGTGGTGGAGAGGGAGGGAGGGAAAAAATTTGGAACTCAAAATTTTAAAAAATGAATGTTAGAAATTTTTGTTTACATATAGTTGAGAAAAAAATAAAATAAAAATTAAATGTAAAAAAGAGCACTTAGCACAGTGCCTGGCACATAGTAGGCATTTAATAAATGTTTATCGACTGGCTTACTGACAGACACCACCCCACCTTCACTTCCTGACTGATCTTCAAGCAAAGGTTGATTGACCACTTGTCATGTATGATATAGAGAGAGATAAAGTCAAGATGTCAAGTGAGAAGAATCATTTGTCCTAGCTCCTTCACCTAAAAAAACATGTCAGACTGAATTCTGAGTAGGAAAGTCAAGGAAAGCTCACAATGCATCATTTTTCCAACCCAGGATAGCTTAGGGAAACAGAGAGATCTTTAAACATTGAGTATGGGGACTGACCAGGAGTAGGCACAGAGAGCAATGAGGAGCATTCTAGCTCATAGGGACCAAAAGAAGAATAAAACAGAATATCCAGGAAGGAAGCACCAGGGTAAAAACAGATACCAGGGAATCCCTAGCCTAGCACTGGGTGCAGGAATGGGTGCCATCTGCCTGCTGTGGCTAGAGTCACAGATCCAGGATGGAAAGGAGCAGTCCCTGAGTAAGTAGATCTTAGCTGAGAACTGAACAAGGAGCAAGTTGTGGAAATGAGCCCAGGAGCAGAACTGTGACTCAGTTCTGGCTTTAAGTCCAGTACATAAGCCTGCAGTGGAATAATCAGGGCAAGAATGTCTTAGACCAAAGAGGAGCCAGCAGCACATTTACTCTGAATCTGTACACCTCCCAGTGGGCTAACAGTGACTGAGTCCAGTAGTAGTATACTGAAACTCAGCTACACACAAGGCAAGAGAACCAAACCTGGATCAGGAACCTGCAGATATCAGACGAAGATGGGAGTGAACAGACTTCTGCCCAGATCACATCAATCTGGGAGCAATGAAAATTTGCAGGCTTCCAAAGACACAGATTGAATTGTAAAAGTGGCAGAAAGCTGTAAAATGACTGAAGCTCAGGTCAGACATCTCTCTCAGAAGTACACAGAGCCTAACACTAGCATAAAGTCCAAAGTCAAGAAGTAGACTGGAAGAATGAGAAAACTCAAAAAGAAGTCAGCCATAAGGAGCTAGAGTGGTGATAGGGAAGCTCAAGACAGAAATGCAGAAGAGAGTGACTTGAAAACATCTATAAGCAAAGCCTCAAAGAAAAATGCAGATTATACACAAGCCCACAAGAATTCCTAGAAGAGTTTTAAAAAAAAGTTTAAAATGAGCAAAAAATGATTATAAAAACCAAATGAGGGTGGTAGAGGGAAAAAGAAGGAAAGGAAAAGGAAATTAACAGCTTGGTAAAAGAGAAAGTAAAAAAAACCTTACTGAAGAAGATAACTGCTTTAAAATTAAAATTGAAGAAAAAATAAAAGCTTATGACTCCATGAGACTAAGAAATAATGAAGTCATGAGCAGAACCAAGAGAATGTTGTACACAATAACAGCCACGTTGTGTGATGACTAATATTGATAAATTTAACCCTTCCTGGCAATACAAGGATCTAAGACATCTCCAGAGGCTTTGTGATGGAAAATGCTATCCACATCCAAAGAAAGAACTATGGAAGTTGAATTTCTATTTTTTTTCTCTTCTGTTGAGTTTTGTTTCCTCTTTCTGATGGTTCCTCCTATTGGTTTTAATTTTTACTTACAACATCACTAATGTGAAAATATGTTTAATATGAATGTAAATGTATAGCCTATATCAGATTGTGTGCCATCTTGGGGAGGGTGGTGGGGAGGAAGGGGGAGAAAAATTTTAAACTCAAAAGCATATGGAAGTGATTATTGATAAGTCAAAATAAATTTTAAAAAAAAGTGATTGTCTTAAGAGACTGCAGAGATCTTGCCTTTTTTTTCCCTACCCCTGTACTTACCATAATGCCTGGTTGCTAGTAAGAACCGAATAAATGCTTTTTAGGATTTTGGTCAAAAAAAAAAAAGAAATAATGAAGTCAAAAGATTTTTAAAAATAGAAGAATATGTAGAAATATAGGTAAAACAATTGACCTGAAAAATATATCAAGAAGAGATTTTTTATTAATTAATTTAGTTTTAGTTTTCAACAATACTTCCATAAGCTTTTGAGTTTTAAATTTTTCTCCCCTTCCCTCCCCACCTCCCTCCCCAAGACATGCAATCTGATATAAGCTCTACATATACATTCCTATTAAACATATTTTCACATTAGTCGCGTTGTAAGGAAGAATTAGAACCAATAGGAGAAACCACAAGAAAGAGGAAACAAAACAAAATAGAAAGAAAAAAAGAGCCAATAGTATGTTTTGATCTGCATTCAAACTCCATAGTTCTTTCTCTGGATGTGGATAGCATTAAGAAGAGATTATTTAAGAATCATTGGACAACCTGAAAGCTATGAACAAAAAGAGAGCCTAGACATCATATTTCAAGAAATTATAAAAGAAAACTGTCCGGATATCATAAGATTTTAAGAGGGCAGAGTAGAAATTAAAAGAATCCACTGGT